TATATATTTATATATATATATATATATGATATATAGATATATATAGATTATATATATAGTATATTATAATATCTATATATATATCTATATATATTGGAATATTTTGGTAGAATTCTTTCTTTTGAACATATTTTGATAAAAATAACTGCTACTCAGGCATTGACGAGCTTTTTGATGCATCGTTCTAGTTTCCGGGCCTTTGACTTTGCGTCATCGCTTAGATTAAAGATGGTTCGCACAAAATTACTCACATATTCATCACTCCTTCCATTCTAACGTTTCGAGATCTTATCTCATCTTCGGAGAAGACTATATTCACAAGAAAGAAGTTTTGAGTTTTAAGGGATGAAAAATTGTACACTACTGTTGGAAAACATCTTTTGGTATGGAAAACATAAATGAAGCATAACTAATTGAAGTAAGACGGATCGCTATTTTCATCTTCATACATGTCAGAAACACTCATAATGGGAACATCACGAAGACATGATTGTGACAATAGTGTTTCCATTGTGTCTTCGTGATGTTCCCATTATGAGTGTTTCTTGCATGTATGAAGATGAAAATAGCAATCCGTCTTACTTCAATTAGTTATGCTTCATTTATGTTCTCCGTACCAAAAGATGTTTTCCAACAGTAGTGCACAATTTTTCATCCTTTAAAACTCAAAACTTATTTCTTGTGCAATTAAGTCTTCTCTGAAGATGAGATAAGATCTTGAAACGTTAGAATGGAAGGGGTGATGAATATATGAGCAATTTTGTGCGAACCATCTTTAATCTAAGCGATGACGCAAAGTCAAGGGCCCGGAAACTAGAACGATGCATCAAAAAGCTCGCCAATGCTGAGTCAGCAGTTATTTTTAATCAAACATGTATCAAATATATATATATATATATATATATATATATATATATATATATGTACGAAATTGCCTAGAACTTAGAGGCATGAACACTTACTTACATATTGAATGTACGACCGAGACTGCCCTGGCTTTTACCCGCGAAAAGAAGACAGAGCGCTCGGAGTAGCAGAGATCATCTACATAAATCCAGTAAGTAATCTGAGATCAGCCAGCTTACTTTTCGGCATCGACTGAAAGATGATGGTTGTGGTGGCGACGGTTCCACTGAATAGTCAGGGGACGCTACCATAAATTCGCTTAATTTTTATTAATGCAATAATGCACGGCTACACTTAAATTTCGCCGGGAACGAGTGCCTCTTTATCCGAATCCTCCACCCAATCTGGCCATTGACTCGACGACCGCAAGCAAGGTTGCTTTGACAAAATCACCACCACTCGCATCGGATCAATTTGCTCTGAGCACTCTGGGGCCACTTCCACCTTCCTCGGGCTTTGTCATAAAGTTAATGAGAAATGCTGCGTCGCGAACGATCGGGATTGATGCCGAGATTGAATATCTTTATAAAACACCCGTGTGTGCGATAGGAAGATCGAACAATCCAACGATACCACGATTCACCGAGATATGCAGAGCCTAATGCAATATCACCTCGGCTGGATTTTTCTCCGTACCGTTCGCATCCAATCACCATAAGCCCAGGCCGTGTCGATTGCCTTTACGGCCTTCACTCCATGACGCAGATTTGGAATGGTCGGCACCGTCGGCTCCGTCGTGGATGTTCATTAAGCTGCCTTCCGCCGTGCCCCGTTCGGAACGTGACAATGATGCGGGGCACCGCTATAGAGATTACCCAGCGCGTTCCCCGCCCGTCATCGGAGATTTTGTTAACGAATAGTCTAGGCAGGTCGTCCGACAGCTGCTCTACGGCTTGAACCTGATCGGATCGACTCGCGTGGATTCACAGAGGACCGCGGGTGGGGTCGTGGGGACACCCCACTGCAGCGGACACCCTCGCAAGAGCACGTGAGGCACGGAGAGTCACTTCAATCGGGAACCCTGCACATCGCTTCGCGGTTAACGAGACCACTGGCTTCCCCTGCGAAGCACTTGCATAGCTGAGATGGTGCTGGCAAGTCCCCAGACGAATGATAAGACCACGGAGATAGATTACAAAGAAGAAGGAGGTGTGTCACTTGCGTATCAATAGAAGACAAGGCGTCTTAGTGGTTGATGCAAAGTAGGCAAGAAGGGACATGGTGTCTCTAGATCCGGGATAGTTCACTGGGTTATCCAATAGCTTTTCATGAGGTGATCTTGCTTATTTTTGCAGATATTTCATGGCAAAAACTTTCACGAAATGTTACATGCAGGCCCACTGGATGTTGGACAGATTCTGATCATTGCAGATGTCTTCGCTATTCTGTTCATACAGTGACCTTGGACTGAAGCTGCTCCTGCCGCGATTTGTTCGTCATCCCCGCAGACCAGTGTAACATGCATATGCAGCTATAGTGCCTTGTACTCAGGAGGCCGGTTGGAAACCCTTCTTTCGGTTCGGGGTCACTTTAATCCCCTGAAACCCTCCAAAACTTAGAAAGTCAGAGGTACCTTGCAGTCAAGGTTGACTTGTGGCCGAGCATGCTTGTGCGTCGACGGGATGAATTGACTGGTGCGTATAAAATTCCTCATGCAACCGCCTTGAACTTAGACACCTGTTCAAAGAAAAAGCTCACTGGTGTTCATTTGCGGTAAGTGAACTTGTTTGGCTTTTAGAAAGTCATGGTGAACAAAATTACGCGAAGTGGTATATTCCTAAAAGCAAAATGTTGACCTGGGCCATTTTAGATCAATGGCCTACTCTAACTTATAAGGAGTTAATGGAAAGTGTCTGTTGTGTTTCGGGCTAATAATCAATTCAAAATAAGCGCCAAAAGCTACCCCACACAACAAACTCTTGGATAAAAAGAAAGCCGGCATATACCTCGGGCGGTCCTTCATTTCCGACCCTAGGTCAATGGAATTTGTTTTGCTCCTAAATTCCATTGCTTCGTTGCGTAAAAACTATCGCAGAGATGCGTGGTGTCTTCCAGCACTCCGTGGTCGCATCAAATTAAACGATTCACCGACAATTGCCTTTGCTGGCAGCCACGGCCTGACTTTGACCTGCCGTAGGTCGACGACCCAACAAGATGCATAGAATACCAATATATCCACTATTAAATTCCCTACAGCTATGCAAATTTTCGGAGCAATCTTTGTGGGTAGGAAATTGAGTCCCCACCCGGGCGCGTGTTAGCGTTTCTAACTTACTGTATTGGAACTGATAAATGAGGGAAAGGGCCGCAAAACGCCCTTTTTACGAGTGCAATTATGCAACTAAAACACTACAAAACATAGAGAAAGAGCAAAATTAAGACAGCTCACTGTTGTTCCATCTTGTTTGTTGCCTTGCTTTCACACTTATTTCAGGCCGCTTCTGCTAATTTAACGATCTTCTCGCTGGGGTGATCGTTCACTGTAGCGTAAAGGCATCCCGGCAATCAGCTCATCCAGTTAAAATAAACCTGTTCACGGCACCACTATGCTGCGGCATTTAAAATTAATTAATGGGACGGGACCTTTAGAAACCGACTTCCCAGCCCTTTCAACCGACAAACACACCCCAGCTGAAAGCGCTATTTGTAGGCGCGAGGAGATGGGAGAGACATCCAGTATTCATCCAGGCTGCGGGGCCCGACCCGGCTGTGGAGGACGAGCTGGCTGGGGAGACCGAGGGGGCTGTGGAGGACGAGCTGGCCGAGGAGACCTAGGGAGCTGTGGAGGACGAGCTGGCTGAGGAGACCTAGGGGGCTGCGAGGGCCGAGAGGGCTGAGGAGGCCGAGCGGGCTGAGGAGACCGAGGAGGCTGCGAGGGACAGGCGGGCTGAGGAGAACGAGCAACTGCGGGGGCCGAGCCGGCTGTGGAG